TTTGTACACGTCGTTACTGACATGACAGATCTATTTGCCTTTCCGCCATTTCCTCCCCTTTCTCGGTCTAAGCGTCATAGGGCGTATTATGGATTCCCCCGTGTGCTTATAAAACAAGAACGAGAACAACACTCGAGCCGGAGCTTAAAGGAAAATGCTCGTGCTCGCGGCACTGAGCCGTTCATTATGTTCATCAAAGCCTCTCAACGCTCCACTTCGGCAATAGCTAGCGGTACGCAGGTATATCGTTTCGCGTACGAGTGTGCGTTATACGTATGTGTACGTGCACGTGTAGATGTATCTCTTCGCGTTCTCTTCTTTGCTGGTGCGCTCGTAAGAAGCCTTCTAAGCTGCCCCGGAGTGCCTTCTTAAGGCCGGTAGTTGGAGAAATTTCTACGCGTAGGTATGCCGACGTAATCCCTTAGATATTTCCCTTACGTAATGCCCGGTTGTCCGGGTATTGGATGGGAGAGCTCGCGGAGCTTGTATCGGCACGTACGGGTATTAGAACTCTCTTGAATTTATGGCGGTAATAGTTGTTGCTAGAAAAAGCTCGTTCGAAGACACGTCTCTTTACTGAATTGTATTTTATTTTTAGCATTAAGTAATTCGAGCAATAAGAAAAGCGACCATGAAATTAGAAGAAAGAATTTGCATTCGGGTACTTATTGCACGTTACACGTTTAAAAACTTGGATCTTGATTATATTGTACTTAAATGCAAAATTCAATAACACTCGATTTTAGCTCATTTGTTTCTCTTTATAAATCTGCTATCTAAAGTTAACCTATAAATTATTCTATTCAAATTGACGTAATAAAACGCACTAAAGAGAGATACAATACATCTAAATGTAAGAAAAAATGCGGTTGCGCACGACTTGGGATTTTCGCATCGGGAGATGCTTCCTGAGACACGGATGAGGAAAATGGACAAACGCGATATAGGAATCAAGAACAAGGGGGCGAGTAGGGGTGGCGCACAAAAGCGAGTGATGGAGGCGGACCATAGCGACTAAGGATTCAATTCTTGCCGGGAACGGGCAAAGGAATAACGCGGAATCAATAGAGGTCGGTCTCGCGACTCCGCTTCGGCTTCGTCGTTGTAGTGTTGTCCGTCCGGCGCGGATGCCTCGGCCAGGTTGAACTCGTTGTATTTTCTCGAAAGACGAATCCTCAAATCCTCCAACCCTCCTCTACATTCTCCTCTTCCGAGCTCCCCAACCCCGCCACCTCGCTTGGGATCCGCCACGGCCGGCAGGGTCCATTCTGCGGAGACAGTATTTTTCTTTTCTTTACTGCTTCCTCAATGTCTTCCCTCGTTCTATTTCCTCAAACTCGAGCGACTCGTCGCCGTTCAATGCGACCCGGCGGAAGGGTGCGAGGAATTACTTACGTTTCATTGCGAACATTGGATTTGTGGCCTCCTCTAGACTGCGCTGCCGGTGGCGGCTCTTGCTCTTTCTCTCTCTCTCTCTCTCGCTCTCTCTCTCTCTCTTCCATCTCTTTCGTGCCGTCGATAAATGATAATAGCATTCAATCTGCCTAGAGAATCGTAAAGACATCCATCGATTTTAAATAATTTTATTGTTACTTTAAGTTTGATGTCTCAATTTATTTTCACTATTCGTCAATTACGAACAGATTGTAATAAATCCATGGTTGAAGATATTGAACTCCTGTTATCATGGTTTATCTCGTTTATCGGTGATATCGGAGCGGAGCGTTTTATTTACCATATCTACTACCTTGCCATAACTCGGAGAACGCTTTTTCTTTGTTTATTTGTTAGCGTAAGTTAAACGTTTGTTTGTATCCATTTCATCGAGCGCCGCTTTCGGACGATATTCCCCATTCGATTGTCGGGGATTCGTATATTCCCCGATGCAAGTAAACGAACCGTGCGATACTATCTCATGCGCGAAATCGCGAAGTCTTTACCCCAGTTCCTGTTTTTCGCCGGAAGCTGCCGCCGCTTCGTCTTCGTCCCAAGTACGGCGTGCGCGATCGAGAGAATGCCGCGTCCCGGCGTTCCCGTCTTTACTTTGGGAAACAGGCCGTCTTTTTCACTGGATTTGAATCGCCGATGTTGCGGTAAAGGTAACGCTTAGCGTTACGCTTCCCCGATAAAGCACGTATTGGCAATTTAGCGTAACCCACAATATTGCTTGGACACGATATTCCGAGGCTTCATATATATCATATTACGAGTTCGCGGCGACGAAAGAAGGTACAATAATAGGCAGCCTGAGCAATAATAGTGCCACGGGCAAAGATTTTACGGAGGAGAAAGAAGAGATCTTTCAGCTCCATTCCCCGTTTGAATGGACTTTCAAACTTAATTGAGAACGGGAAAAAGTCGGTACGAAGTCTCGCCGTGCTTCATTCTCTTCTCTAAGAATTGGCAGACCTGTGCAACTACAGTTTCCATCGTCTCTCACCTTCTTTGTTCGGACAGATCCCCCATTGTAGATCTTTTGTCGAATAACCGTTACCTACAATTTTTCTAAATTCTAAAGGTAATGTACAGTCCACATTCGCGAATATTAATTCCTCTACAGAAACAGAGTAATTTGCGTTCGGCGTATCGCAGCGAATATTTATTAATTTTGAAGATGAAATTTATTAAAGGAATAGTTTGGCGTAATACAAATAATATTCATGCTGCGATTAGCAAATGAAACGTGTGCAGATTTTTAAAATTTTCAACTTTATTGGTAAAGTTGATTTTTGTAAACAATAAAGAGGAATAAAATAATAATACACATGTCTGTTATCTCGAAATCAATAGAATCTTGATTAACAGGATGACTTTACCGCTTCTTAGATTCTTCATTAATTCGTTAGACTTTGTTAGATGTTTCTCTTGATACTTTGAAAACTGTACATAGTTTCATACGCTTTAGATTTTATTATTTTAAAAAGAAAATATTTTGCGCCTTTTTTGACGCAAGCATTTTAGTTTTCTAAAATATATTCTAATACGTAATATGATAAGATATTTAAACATTTGTTCAATTTACTTTTTCGAATACTACAAAACAAGAATTATTATAGTATTGAATTATGATATATATAAAAATCACTATATTTTATATTAAATAACAATATATAATATATGGGTAATAGTAATGGGCTGTGATAATCATTTGTTAATGTCGTACAAATGGGTTCTCGGACTTAATCGAGAGACAAAGGACGTAGACGTTTTGTCGCTCCTATATCGCGGCACTCCGAAAAAAAGTAACGGACTCCCAGAACGATAGGTTCGTCGATTTCTTCAGTATCGAACAAGGCACTATTGTACGTTTCTCGGTGTATCTCTGTTATCGAAGTAAATCCACGTAGTCCCTTTGCTGAGTCGGAGCGCCGCCGCGCGAAATAAGGAACGGAAGCGCTTACACCTCAAGAGGAATTCTCTTCGAGAGCTTTTCTTCGAACGCGGAGATATATACCGACCGCTTCTTCCTCGCCCGAAAGGGATTTGAGAGGACACTGGAACTAAAGGGAGGTACGACAACGTGAGCAGCGAGGAGGAGGAAAGCTGGCCCTTCGAGAAACAAAGTCCTCCCTTTTGCTTGTAGCACCGTTGAGAACTTTATTTTTCAGAATGCGTTCGATATTTCGATAATTGCTTCCTTGTGACTCCTCGTCATATCAAGGAGTTACAAGTACTGACTTCTACACAGAAAAAAGAAGACGAAAGAGATGAAATAAACAGATATTCTCGTCGGTTTTCAAAATCTTTAAATTAAAATATATATACAATATATCGTGTACTTTATAAAAAGATTAAACAGTAATATATTATAATTTATAAAATGCGCGCAAATATAATTAACGCAATAGTTGGAAGTTAGGAATGATCCGTCTCCAACTTTGGTAATAAGAAAGAAATATAAAGAAAAGATAAGTAGGCTTTTTTGTTAATATTCTTGTTAGGCTATCGGGGGTTCAAGCGGAACTAATCGAGAGTTGATAATTAGTGCTGATTTAATCACCGTTCTTTCAGGCAAAATTCTGCGCGTGCTCATCGACGCGGCCCTTTGCGAGATCCAATTAAAGTTTCGTAGAAATTCTCGTTGTCAGCCGAGCGCAGGTTCATAACAATTAATAACAATTTCCTTTTCATCGTCATATCATCAAGTTATGACATAAGACGATGAACGTGAATGAGACGTGAATTTCGCTGTGATTCCGGATAATGAAACTGCTGCTAAAATCACGCACTTTCAAACGGCAGTTTTATTCTTCATTATTATTTTTACAGCCTCAGATTGTTATTGTTGCAGCGATGAAATATTTGTTATCCCGATTTGTTAGCCCGATATTAATTAAATAAAAACAGCGAGGCAATAATTGAAAAACTATGCTCAAATCTCGGAATGAATGAACTATCGTATTATTATTTAATTGTTATTTAGGTTACTGATTCTCTAAACAATTAAATTATTTTGTAAACTAAATGTAGTCATCGAATTCAGTTCACTTATTTGTTTTTAATATCGTCGATGGATTAAAAATTTATTTTCCACGGCACTGATTAAATACCTATTCTAACAATACACGTCAGTTGATCAGCGGCCGTCCGGAGTATAAAAGCTAAGAGTGGTGTCTACGTTCGCGTTTCTCTCGCTTCCTTTCCGTGTCTCTCGGAAAACGAAAAGAAAGAATGATACATGTGCGGTCGACACGTCCCAGGTGTTCCTGATTATCTGCGGGAAGGGAAAACGCTGGGAGCTCTCGGAATGGGTGACCTTAAAAGTTCGACAAATTAGCTTTTACAAATTAAACCCTCCCCACGGTCCCAACTTTACCGACGGAATTTAAGGGAATCCGTTCGTATATCGATAGACTATAAAACTTCGCCGGATAGGAGTGGCCCCGCGTCTCCCGGAGAATTTACTGGAAACGATATCCCTTCCATCGTGCCCGCCGTATCCGTACGACTTCTTCTAGCAATCCACTGCGGCAGGTTCCACTGCGAAGGACCCGACGAAGGATGTCCACGCTCGGGATCTCGTTAAAGTTTCAGGGAACAGGAGTGGCGGCTCCTCTCGCGCACACAGCGAAGAAATTTAACGTACGCCAGATAATGTGTTATACTTATTATCGATTGCGATCGAAATATTAGTAATTATTCTTAACTTAATCTTGGATTGGAATTAGTCGAAACGATAATGTGCGTTGAATATATCTTTGTAATATAGATAAATGCATATGTATTTTGGAATTTTTGTTCTTGCGTTGTACTTCACATATCGATATAAATAAGGGGATGGAGACAGATCGTCTCAATTGCCGAGCAGATCGCGTATTTCAATCGAAACACTGCGCACTCTGTGTTATCCCTGCTTATCGGACCGATCTTACCATTGGCAGCCATCAACGACGAAATCGACTGCGAATCGCGTCAATGGGGGTCGTGGATTTTATCGTGAACGCGATCGCGTAATCCGGCATCGTGAAATCGCGCAACTTGTTGCATGCCGGACACACCCTCGGATCTCTCCACGCTTTTTCCCAGCGCTCTTCGGTAATGTGAAGAGAATGGCCAGGTCTCATTTTCTAGACTCATCCCAAGCGGTAGAGGAGAAATCCCTCCGAGCGCGCGGGTCCGCGCGCGTTTTGCCCCATCGATGTCAACCCGGAATATCGGGCAAATGGAGTGGATAAGTCTTTAGGCGGACTGCGGCGGGGTGTAAAAGGCGACACACTGGGGATGAGTTTAGATGTTCCTCCTAGATAAGACATGGGGGGAGAATCGTGCCCGGCGGTATATGGGATTTCCGTGCCGGGGGTAGATCGCCGATATAGATAGGCGGCATAATCGGGCCGACATAATTTCGGGCGGGCACTAAAGAGCAGGTGTACGATCAGATTTCCGTGCCCATCGAGCATCCGCGAGTGCTATATAGCGTGTCGCCCGAGACGTTCTTATGATTAATGCTGGATGCGAGAGGAATTCGAATGGGAGCGCGCGCGTGGGTTATTCCAGAGTCTCGGTGATATTTCCTGACCGAAATGTTACAGTCGATTTATATTCCGGTTGAAATGCCAGCAGGTGATTTTCTCTGTCAGAAAAGATGACGGGTTTCTCTCCAAAAAGTTAAATTTCTGAACGAAATTTGCTACAACAAATTGGATAACTGTGATCGTGTTACAAAATTATTTTCATCGCAAGTTTTAATTGTTGTTAACTTCAAGTTTTTCATAAAAGAAAAGAATGGAAGTAAATCGTGAAGTTCTCTCAAGTGAGAATTGAAGTTTTCTCAATTTTAATTTCGCGAAACGTTCGATACATTTCTTTCTTCGCGAAGAAATTAAGAACGTTTGAACAAGAGCAATGAGTCCACTGTTGCGTTTACGAAAAATATGACGGATCTATTCGTCTGGAATTAATGAACAAATCTTTCTGGTTGCAGAAACGGACACATGCTGACACATCGAAATAAAAAGCCGTACGAGTGCAAGGCGGAAGGGTGCGGCAAGTCTTACTGCGATGCGAGGAGCCTGAGGAGGCACACGGAGAATCATCATGCCGGCAGCAAAATCAACGAAAGCATCAGTCCTAGCAGCCCCACGACCGGGCCTCATACGCCTAACACCCCCGGAAGCAATCCCAGCACACCGAGCACACCTGGTGCAACCTCTACGACGAATGGTCACGGGCACGCGGCCTTGAAGCAGCTTCTCGCCACCGAACCCGCGCAAACGCAACAGCAAAAGGTAAAGTCATCGACGTGCTCTTTCCAGCGAATTTTGATCGAATTTCGAGTAAAACATATTGAGATTTCGAAATCTCGAGTGCTCGCGACTCGCCGGCTCGCGTAAAGAGACACGGTCCGGTCCGACTTCTTTAACGCCGAGACACGACCGTGTCTCATGATTTATATTTTTATTACGTTCAATTTATTCACTTGCATAAAATATAATGGTTTTGCTCAGAATGCAATTATTGTATTATTGTATTGTGCAATTTGTAATTATAGTTACGCTACATAGCTATCCTTACTAAGCTAGGGAGCTTAGAGACAAATCGAGATGACCAATCGATTCTTAATTTGTTTCACACGACGCGACACGAGAAACGAGGGATTTGAGTCTCACGTCCTTATTGTTTCTGTCGATCCGTCGATCCTCACAACGCTGCCCGTGCTGTATATTTCACGATTGAATTTTCTCGAAATTGGTCTGAAATTGCTGCGCCCGAGATGGGTTTAAGGGCTTACAGGGCGAACCTTTCAAAGAGTCGGTCAGCGTGCGTCCGACGCGAGCCCGCAAAGATGTAAGAGGATTAGGTGGCTTTTCCGCGATTGCCGAGTATGTCGCGCGATTTGTAACTAAAACGCCATTAATTTCTGTACCGTCTTTATCATTCAATTCGTCGATTTCCCTCGTTCCCTTTAACCGGATCTGTTCGCATATCGAACTTATATGATAGATAATATAATTAAGAGAAAACGTACAAGCATTTCCAAACGTAGAGATTCTCGCGAAATGGAATCTTCAAAATGAAGATAATTCCTGTTCGCGTAGAATCGTTAATTAGAATTTGACCCCGCGAGTCGGCCAGGTTGTTGAGCGATATAGAGCGGAAAATTTCGATCCCTTTCAAAAGTGTTCCTTCTCGCTTTTATCTCCTCGCGCTCTGCGGATTTAATTTTATAGCTTGCTAGCTTTCGGTAACTTTTATTACCCGCAATGGTCCCGTCTACCGAATGTAATGCACGGCGATAACGAACTTCAGATTACTATCTCGCCAATTACTACAATCATTACTCCGACCTCGTGATAGTTTAACTTCTTTGCAACTCTGATGAACTTAATTTTCATCGGCCGTAAGGTTGAGTGGGATTCTCTTTTGAGACTGGTATAAATTATATCCGGAAAACCTCTTTAAAAGTAGCTATTTTGCATCACCGAACAAATTATTTCTCGTTAATGAAGGAAGTGCGTTTCAGCGAGAAGTAACTTCATAAAATATATCAATAATTACTACATCATGTATTTTGTGATACGAGATATTTTTTTGCAAAACGTAATATTATTTTATATCGCTTCGAACCATCTGACAGCTGTAATTTCACGTTGATCACCGGCATTTTATTCCCTGCGTTCGTTTTTCGATTCGTGTTTCCGGACAGTACTAACCATCATCAGTCTTTCGAAACGCGATAAAACGCAAGAGGCAACCGTTTCGGCATCACGTCCGTAAATGTCACATCAGCAGCGTCGCTGTGGCTTTTAAACGCTGCCGAAAGAAAGTCGTTAGTTCCAATTGCGGCCGTCGCAATTAAAGGACGCGAAGCGGAAACTTCGCGCCGTCAGAAAGGCCTCTCCCGATCCTTTCCTTTCTCTCTTTCTTAGCCGTCTTTACCATCTTTCTCGGATTCGACCGACACGTAGGTTAGTAGCCCGCTGGCAAAGTTTATTGGCTGCGACCCTTGACCACGTAGGGCCGAGGTGGCTGTACCCCGGCGAACCATTGTCGGACGATAAAAGGGCGCGCGAGAAAACGAACCGTCCGTGAGGAACGAGAGAAGTCGGAAGGAGAGCCCCGAAGGTGAGACCACCCTTCGTCTTCTCCTGCCTGCTCTCTCTCTCTCTCTCTCCCTCTCTCTACCTAACTCCCTTCCCCTGCAGTACTCCCTGTCAGACCTGGTGGAAATTAGTTCTTGGCCGTAGAGCACGGAATTATTGCCGCTTTCAAAGTCGCTCGCTGCGCTTGCATTCGAAGGCGAGTGAGAGATGCGAGGAGAAAAGCGCGCGCGTTGGAGAGCATAAGAAGAGAAAAGGAGCAGAGAGTGAGAGAGAGAGAGACGGGGAAACAGCTATGTGTGTAGCTGTGCTTCCGTGTGCGTTGCGTTGAGAGAGGGTGGGAGGGTAGTTAAACCGAGACTACGAATCTACGATATTGAGTTAGAAGTAAGGCGGGCGGTCCTGAAGTGGGGGCTAATAAAATTTGATGACCGGGAACTTCGTAATGAGAATGAGACGCGGGAAGGAGGTGGAATTGAGGGAGACAGAGAGCAAGTAGGAGAGAAAGGGAGAGAAACGAAAGCGGTCGGCTATGAAAACTTCTCAGACGTAGCGAGCCCGCGATTTATGATATTTCATCGGACAGCCGCGGAGTCCGGAGAGTAATCTTTTGTAGTCATTAATTTTCTTTCGCTACGTCGTCGTAAGTTGCAGCCGCCTTTGTCGAAAATGGCGCAGCTGCGGATATTTATGAATTTGCTTCTCCGACGCGTGAAATTTAATCAACGCTCGCGGATACCGCGTTAATTATTCACCGTAGCGCTATTGCTAAATCTGCTTACGAATTCTCCGCGACGTCTCAATCCTCGATCGGCCGATAATGCTCGCACTTCAGATTTCAAATTTCAGATTTCGTAAAAGTTTTAATTAATCCAGTGGTCCTTGATCTAAAAACATTTTAAGTTATAATTATGTATGCTTTGATAAGAAAATTATTTCTACGATACCTATTTTATAACTGAACAATACATATATTTTACATATATATATATATAATGATTTACGAATTATTTTAATTAATATCACATAGACACTTCGGACAAATAAGATCGACATAATTCAAAAGGATTGACTAATATTATTATAACGCAACTTCGAAAGAAGTTGCTAGTGGTGTCATTGGCTTTCGAAATTATGTTGTATAAGAGATCGCCGTGAAAGATTATTCGCTGAATGAACCGAGAAGTCATCTCGCGCCTCCTCGAGCTTTCGCCTCGTTCAAATCGGTAACTTCGCGTACGTGCCACGTTTGGGATTCCGCCGAGGACCCGCCATAAAGTCGTCAGGGCACAATCGCGCGTGCGAAAGTAGAACCACGAAGCGCGAGGAGTAGGAAAATACGAGAGGTCGAGAGAAGCACGTGTGGCAGACGAGAGAGAGAGACAGTAAAAGGGATGAAGGGGGACAGATTCGGAAAGACGGGGGAGGGATGGTGGATGAGGGTGTATATACCAGAGACGAGAGAGGGGCGACGAGAGAGGAGAAGTGGCTTTCCGACGCGCGAGCAAGCTCGCGATTTTCCCGTCACGTAGAGATGCGAGCTCGACTAGACGACGAGAACGACGACGACGACGACGACGACGATCAAATTTGTTCGGGAATTCGAAATCGCTGGGACGGAACGATGGGTTGGGAATAAAGTGTATGCGGCAGCCGAGTGTGTTCGCGCCGCGTCCTAGGAACCTTTCAGCAGGTTCGCCACGAGCGCGCGCGGGAGAAGGGACGAGCCGACGGAGGAGGAAAGAGTGATTCGACATCAAAAGGTGTCTACCGGTCGTTCAACTGACTTCGGTTCGCGCTTATCGAAAAACGGCCCCGCCTGAAAATCACGGTTATCGTCCCGGAAAATCACTGTATCGCTCCGGAGCCGCGCACTAAGTCAAAGGATATGTTTCTTCGATACTAGACTCTTCTAGTATAAAGACTACTAGTATAAAGATTCTTCTGATATGAAGTCGTATTGTCAAAGCCTACGTTTTATTCGAACCTCGTTGAAAATTGCGAGTGTATTACGGATCATCTTTATCGTTTTTTATTTCGTGAATCTTCTCGAAAATATGATACAAAAATTATTAATTAATTACAATGAGAGGAAAAGAGTGAAAGAAAGAGTAAATTAAGAATTCAATGCATTAAAAGTTTCTCAATGTTTAAAGCGATAGGTTATTCCTGCATCGTAATAAATATTAATATAATATAAATACACGATATAAATACGATATGAATGATTATATCGATATCACTGACTGTAAGCAATCATTTTGAGTTTTCAAAGAGTGTTGAGTGAAATAAATAAAACAATTTATTTCATTCGGTTATCATTGAAAGTTGCAAAAGTCTCCAAAACGCGCAATCACTCTCGCGTGACACGACGAAAATATTTTGTAAATTTGTTTTATAGGGAGTAGTTATTTTTCCTTTAAAATAAATCTAGGCGAAGAAATTTTATGCTCGCGGATATATTCGCGGCCAATTACCAAGCATACCGGGCACCATCAGCGTGATTTTCATTCGTGCAAATATTTGCCCGTGCAGGAATTACGGAATTCAATCTTGATGATAACGCTCCCACGAATTTTCGTGCGGATCTTTGACGAGCGTTAATGACGTCAAAGAATTGTGGAATTTCATAATGTCTCGCTAACGTATCGCTCGTTATTACAATGAAACAACCGAAAAGGATTTTGTATATTACAGTTAATACGCACGTCCGCCGCACTCGCTCGATTGGAGATTACAGCGGAATCGCAGTTTCAGAAAACAAATCGAAACGTGTGTGTATTCAAAAGCTATTTTTTTTTCACAATATATATGTATGTTTTTTTAATGGACGCATTCCGTGAATACTTCAACAAAATATTAATAAAACGCTTTTTATATGTTTGAGACAAGTCTTCTATGTAAAATATATGAAAACCTTTTGTATATGTATACATTTTTATATATTGTATATTGATGTCAGCGCATAAAGCTCTCTCTTTAATGAAAAATTTATTTATTTTTTTTTTAATATCTTGCAGCCATTTTATTTATTTAATCAAACGCTCGGCGTTTATGTTCTCGACAAATGCGAAATGTTTAGCAAATGTTTATTCGCGTCGACGCTTATTCAATCTCCACCACCATTCATTTTAAAACTATTGGACAATAAGAATCGTCCAATCGTCCCTTTCAGCGACGCGGCGGTC